GTGGACTGGTAGTGGTAGTAGGTGGACGGGTAGGTGCTTGACTGGTAGTGGCAGTAGATGGACGGGTAGGTGGTGGACTGGTAGTGGTAGTAGGTGGACGGGTAGGTGCTTGACTGGTAGTGGCAGTAGATGGACGGGTAGGTGGTGGACTGGTAGTGGTAGTGGGTGGACGAGTAGTTAGGAATCTGGGAAAGGCATATGAGGCAAAATATACAGTATATTAAAATCAGCATTCTTCAGTTAATGTTTTGCTGTAAGTATTTGTATTCAGTCTATATTGACTACGTAATGCCCTACCGAGATGAGCATGTGCCATTATCTCCAGGAGCATGTTTGATGACCACTGTTTCCACTTTAGGACATGGTAAAGTATTTCCTTGAACAAGAGGAGAGAGATCTAACAAAAGAAGACAGTTTCAGTAAGTAACAAAACTTCATTTTAGGTGTAATTTCGTATTTGAATAAGATGTGTTGTAGAATTCCAAACAGAGCAGTTATGCAGTCAAGTGAGTTTGTTTTATCAACTTGCCTTGGAAGCTGAAGGAAAAAACAGCACTCCCTCCCTTGAGGAAGTCACTGGATTTGATCTCTTCGGAATCAGTAAAACCACCGAAACCATACGCTGTTCCGGCAAAAAAGGTCTCACCATAGGCATCTACAATTTGATTTCCCCTCTCACGAGGATTGCCCCATAAATAGGTACCTGTTAAAAGCATATAGATGATCAAGAGCAAGTCAAGTGGAACCTCAGGGACTCATGTATGTACATTTGCAAACTTCTCCACCCACTATAGCGCACATTGCAAGCATTTAAATGTGCAAGTGAATGGACCTCCTTCTCTCTTTGTATCACAGATCAAAAGTCAAAACAGTCAAAACAGCGAAAACAAAAATTCAGTGACAACAAAGTCGATGTGTTATTTGGGCACCAGTGATGGTGAAGCGTGTGTATTGACTAGTGCGCTGTAGCAAAGCGTAAAGTACTTGTGATGTGATACTGCTGATGCAATGACTGTTTGAAATGATGCTGCTGCCAACAATTGTAACGTAGCGAGGAGTTTAACAACTGCTGGAATGGAACGTGAACACTGATTTGGAGATGTGAAGTCATCTTTGATTTCTTCCAGTAACTGTAATATTGCATGGCCGCTTCATCTGTAACATGTAATGATTTTATGTTCACTAAACTGAAAAAGTGTGATTCTTGTTGCAAAAGCTTGGCCTCACTGACCTATGTCGGCGTCTGGCTCAGATTACTGCTGCCATTTCACCAGGAGGCACATGTGAGGAAAGCCGCATTCTTGTTTACTCTTTTAGGAGGCACTGAATGTTTACCGCAAAAGGGAGGCACGCTATCACGAGGGGTTTCTGTACGGAATACATAATTAGACAGACTTCGCTCATCCCCTCACATCTCTTTATGGGAGATTCCTACCTTCCCCATGACCCTCCCCTGAATGAATGCATATCCATGACACGGAAAGCGCAATTTGCCCTTTTCAGTCTCCGCAACAGGCAGTCCTCGCTTTTACCTCAGTGGGGCTTGTTTGTACATACAGTACCTCGCCATGCTTTTAAACGCACATTGCGAAACTAATATGCCTTTGGGAGCGAAAGTGTTAGTACATGAGGCCCTGGAAAAAGTCCAAATGAGACACTGACTGAACCCCAAGCTGCTGCCCAGCTGCTTCACAATAGCCTGCTCCTAATGCTTAGGATGGGTTGAATGCACTGGTGAACTTGTATCTAGGTACCTTTATTCATGTCACAGGCGTAATACCGTTTTACATTTTTTAATAACCAGAGAGGAAATTGTTACATATAGTGGGCTAAAAGTAGAACAAAAAACAATGGATTTCTACCTGTTTTTTTTTCAACTTACCATTACTGATTTGCCTTAAGTCAGTGGTGTAGCTCCGTTGCTTTGACATCTGCAGCTGCAAATTTGGTTTCTGATCCAGAATTTTGAAGGTCACCTGCCTTTGTTGGCAAGGCCACACCAGCTTGTCATCATTTTCACCAGACAAGAGCTGCATAAACACGCCGACGGTTCCATTGTTCGGCTGAATCAGAAACCTGTAAGCATAGCCTCCACTGGAGTAGTGCCGTGGACTGGCCAGAATCTGTCTAGTCTTCAAAATGTTCTCAAAATCATCAATCTGCATGGTCACGTGTGGACATTCGATCTCGGACAGATTGATGTTGTCGATTAAGAAGCCACCTGAAGAGTCTCCTGCTCCTTTACGAACCTCAAACTCCACTTTGAAGGTCTTGGTGGCATTGAGGGAAACATGCTTGAGCTGCCAGTACGATGTTGGTGAACCTGGAGAAAACGTTTTCGGATGACTTAGTTACATCACTTTAATATCAATACCTGCACTATGATTTCTAGCTTTCAAACATTTGAGTCTTAAATATAATTTAGAGCAGATTATATGAAATTATCATACAGCTTGAGATTACCAGTGATCTGTCCCATAAGGCGGCGTGTTCCTGAGGAGTCCTGTTTATCTTGAAACTCTCTGATCCAGATGTTGAGTTGGTCTGATCCGTTTCCACTGTGATAATAGTAGAACTGGAGACACTGGACGTGACATTTCCTATTGGGTCTCATCTCCTGGGTTTGTAGCCAGGCCGAGTCCCCTTCTTGAGCTGATGCTGTGCTAGCATACATGAAGTAACCCGTATCACCACCTACAACGTTGTTGTCCAAAAACAAATGTGTTATGGTGGACTTTCCAATGTCCGATCTATATAAAAGGTAACTGATTAAAGCAAATGATAAATCAGCAAGATTTAAGATCATCTTAGTTTGGCATCACGGTGGTGTGGTGGTTAGCACTGTCACCTCACGGTAAGAAGGTTCTGGGTTCTATACCACCCAGCGGCCTTTCTATGCAGAGTTTGCATGTTCTACCAGTGTCTTCGTGGCTTCTCTCCGGGTACTCCAGCTTCGTCCCTCAGTCCAAAGTCATGCTCGGGGCATTAGGTTAGTTGTTGACACTAATTTGGTCAGCCCTGCGATTGACTGGTGACCAGTCCAGTGTTTAAATTTAGTGGTAGGCATTGGTGCTCAATACATTTCTGGTTTCAAATGAAATAAGGAAGAACCACGCCGTACCAAAGTTTCATGCAACATTTTATAGCCATGCGATGGGTGGGGAAAGTGGAGACCCCCGAAGAGCTTTGCCATATTGTAATATTGAATATTGTTGTTCATGGTTGGTGCCATAACAAGTTAAACAACAATACATTTAGCATATTAAGCTGTTTACAAACTGCAAGGTTTTCCTTTAAAAATCTTACCAGAATCCCCTCCACTTGGTAGATTGGTGTGGTCGGACTTTGGACCAGCGACAACATTCGTCACCATTTCCCAGCTGCTGCCCCCCTTTGAGCATTGATTCATTTCACACATGGACCCATTAGAGAAATCACAGTACATCTTTGATGCAATTGTTGTGTCTGTAGAGGTGAATGAATAACACAGGATTGAGAATGATTAATAAACTTCAAGGTATCAAATTAAAATGTGAACGATTTTGTGCTAATGTTTGCGGAAAAAGCATTAATGCGTGGTGCGATGAGCTGAATTTCGAACAGCTTTTTCAGGTATGGAAGTGTTAGCATTGTGTAGCAATAAGTCAGGCTTGTATTGTTACAGAGGTGCACTAAAGGTTTTCTCCCATTCACTAAACAATAACCTTTTATTTCATGGATAGATATTAGAGAGACATTGATCATCTCATCTTAACTCTGCATTGCTCCATATCTCCTGTTTCCACCACAATTCCGGTTTTTCTATCTAGCAACGATTGTAAGTGTTATTAGTCACATACATGCCTTGCAAGTGCTCCAATGGTTTAATAAAACGAAAGCATTGGTTGTCTTTTTGAAAAACATTGCCTGCGTTTGTGCATTTCTACGACTAAGACTTGTGACTTTTTGAGTAGTCACTGTTGTCAGTCGACGTCATTGATGAAAATACCCCTTTGTTGCACGACAAAGACTCTTAGGGGACAAATTGGATGGCTGTCTGCTACGTCACCACAACCGTAACCAGGGAGTTTCAGTTGCCGTAGGCTGCTTACACACAGAGGTGACGGATCGGATAAGGGAATAAGATCTTTTTTTTATAACACCAATTCTTTGCTCTTTTCTTTAGTACTGACATTTAAGAATTACTTGTTGATTGTGGTGCCAGATCAGTAAAACGTACATATTAGTTCTTTTCACTGCTCTGATTGAAAGAAAGAATAGGATTTTGAGTTAAAATGACACAATACTTTCCGGTGGATATTATGTTCTCACAAAGTTGAATGATATAAGTACGAATAAATAATGGATGGTGCCTTTAAACCTCAAACACTTACTGCATTTGTAGAGAAGGTTCAGCTCCAAAACGTCACTGGGACTCACTTCCCGTCTTTGACCAATAACATTCTGAAATTTGGGGTCTTTGGTGATAATTGTTGGCCCGGTTCCTTTGCTGAATGTATTTTTGTCGTAGTGCATCACTGACGAGTAGTCGTACGGGACTCCGTGGGTGGTGGTGATTTCGTTGCTAATTTTAAAGTTGGGCTCCTTACCTTGAAGACACATGAAAGACAGCCTTCAAATATTTGATATAAATAATATAAACCTGAGGGCAGCTAGGATGGACAGGTAAGTGGGAAAATTAATTTAGTCTTGAAATCCAAAACACATTTTGAAATGACGCTAAAAGAGAATTCAACCTGGTTGGATGTTCTCGAATAGGATGGTCACATAATCATCTCTGTCATTTCTGGATTGCTCATGGTAGAAGCCAAAAGCATGAAGGAACTCATGTTCAACGATGGCAACGTGATCACAGAATGCCCCGATGGAAAGATTTTGTCCTCCAGGTTGAGTGTTTCGCCCAATATATGAAAAACATCTAAAACAGGAAAAGGCACTCATGAATAAACTTTTGACCACAAGTGTCATTTATCAAAGCTTAAGTTAAGAGGAAGTTGAAAAGTATGCTAAGGAAATAAAATTAACCAAATGTGCTGAAAGAAAATTAATCTAAGTGTTAGCGCAACTAATATTGAATTGCTGTCATGGACAAAAATAGCAAACAACAAAGACAAAAGAAACTAAGAAGTGAAGAACCTACAATACGTACCCGTCTAACTTTTGGACAGAGATGTAAATTTCTTCCGAGTCCCTCGGTTTGAAGTCGATACAAGTCTTCAGTCTGAACTGGTCTAAAGCTTTCAGGATGACGCCCTTAGCGTTCATCTCTTCCAAATGTAAATTGTGTAATAAGGAGAAAGGACAATGTAAGTACAACGTATGGATACGTTATGTTTCTTCTGTTCTGAGAGCTCTCGGCTCCAGAGCAGCTTCAATAGTTTAGTTCACGTCATGTGGTGTTGCTGTGCGCCGCGTAATCTGTGTGACCATAGCCTTCCAGTGGAAGCTTTCTTTCTTCTCTCTTAACTGACCATTTATGATTATGAAACAGGAGAAAATATGTTTACCCAGGTCATTATCCAGGAGATACGGTACTGGGGATGTCCACAGTCGTCTCTCATCAATGATTGCACTCCTTTGGGTGTTCGGTCTCTGATTCATAAGAAATGTATTTGGTGACCCAAAACTTCATGCATGCGTGTTAATCTTCTTAATGTTTGACCACAGAACTCACCTCCAGAATATCATCATATAATAAATCTAAAATAAAAATCAACAAGTTAGTGTTTTTTCCACATGGAAATCATTAACTAATAGTTGAGCAACAGTATGACCACACAACAAAGGATCTCTGCCAAATATGAATTTGAGAAAACAATCCGACCACAAGGTTGATTTATTGCCATGAAGAGGTTTAAAGTTACCCCTGTTTGCCTCGGTAATGTCCTGGTCTTCACCAATATCTACAAAAACAGATGAGATGCTGCCTTATGAAGGAACATGGTTTAAAAGAAATTGTTGAATTAATTCAAAGTCAAATAAAATGAAGAATTTCAGAGGTTGTAACTTACCCACCATCTCCATTCCATTCTGTAAAGAATTTCATTTCATCAACAAATGCACGAATATAATTTGTTGTAATACAACATAAAGTGCAGGGAAAAAAAACTTAATGGTTTTCTAATTTACAGTTTTCAAAAATCTGAAACATGTTCACTATCAGATGTTCGTATACATGGAAGCTGCTGTGATGGTTTCGGAGCATAATAACGAACATAGTTCGTCATCAGGTACTTAAACACTTCTGTAGCATAAAACCCATCATCATTTGACAAAAGTACAAAGATAAAGTTATGTACTTACTTGTTGTTGTTGTTTTTGGGAGAATGTTGATGAAAGTGCCAAGTTCACAACAAGAAAAATGTAGCCTTTCATCCTCGTTGTGTATTATGGACTGTCAATGAGGCCGGAGCAGAGAGGTTTGACTGCTAGAGATTTATTCCAATAATCCAGTAGTACAATCATCCAATTATTCCTATATCTAATAATACCATATGCAAAGATTCTTTCACAAACTAACACGAACGCGGGTGTGGACATGCACGACTACAAGACACACTGGCACAGGACAAAGGGAGACGCAGACAATAAGTATCCATGAGGGAGGTGAGGGAACAGGTGGAGACAATTAGGAATCAGGGGAGACAATCGACAGGAGACACCTGAGGAAGGGCAAGACACCTGAAACGAGAGGGGGTTTAGACGCCACAATGAAACAGATGAAAGTATCAAAATCAGACGTAATACGGGACACAAACACAAACTTCACCAACATTTATGACAGTACCCCCCCCCCAAGGCCGAATTCCAGGTGGCCTTGGAATGTCCGGGTGGTCTCTGTAAAAATCTCGAACGAGATCAGGGTCCATGATGAGGCTGGGAGCCACCCATTGTCGTTCCTCTTGGCCGTATCCCTCCTAGTCTATGAGGTACTGCCAGCCTCTGCTGCGCTTCCGTACTGCCAACAGCTTCTTCACTGTGTAGACCGGACCACCGTCGATCATTCGAGGGGGCGGGGAGGGCTTGGGGTCTGGCACCATACTGCTCTCCTTGACTGGTTTTATTTTGCTAACATGAAATGTGGGGTGAACACGAAGCGACCTGGGCAGGCGGAGGCGTACAGCAGCTGGGTTGATCACTCTGGACACGGGGAACGGGCCGACGAACCGTGGGGCCAGCTTGCGTGACTCCACCTGCAGGGGCAGTTCCTTGGCCGCGAGCCACACTCGCTGGCCATGCTGATAAACCGAGCCGGTCTCTGTCTGCGGTCTGCTGCGCTCTTGTACCTGTCCCCCTGTCTGATCGGCGTCTGGCGAGCTGCTGCCCAGATGCGGCGGACCAGGGTGTGAGCAGAGGGCACAGACACCTCTGATTTGGACTCATTGGAAAATGGGGGGTTGGTAGCCCAACACACATTGGAAGGGGGACATAGCGGTGGCGAAGTGGGAAGGGAGTTATGGGCGAACTCGACCCACGTCAGGTGCTTGCTCCAGGCTGCAGGGCACTGCGCCACCAGGCACCGGAGGCCGGTTTCCAGCTGTTGGTTGAGGCGCTCAGTCTGGCCGTTAGCCTCCGAGTGGTACCCTGATGTAAGGCTCGCCGTGGCTCCGATGAGCTTGCAAAACTCCTTCCAGAACCTGGACACGAATTGTGGCCCCCGATCCGACACAATGTCCCGGGGGAACCCGTGAATCCTAAAAACACTGTCCATCATCACCACTGCCGTCTCCTTAGCTGATGGCAGTTTAGGTAGGGCTATGTAGTGCACCATTTTGGAAAATCTGTCCACCACAGTCAGGATAACGGTGTTACCGTTAGACGTCGAGAGCCCCGTGACAAAGTCTACAGAGATCTCGGCCCATGGCCGGGACGGAATGGGCAGTGGCTGCAGCAAGCCTTCCCGGGTTCTGGAGGAGTTCTTGTTTCTGGCACAGACTGAGCATGCCTCCACGTACTCCCGGACCTCCGGCTCCATGGCGGGCCACCAGAACCTCTGCGTGATGGCAAACATGGTCCGCCGTACGCCCGGATGGCAGGTGAGCAGGGACGAGTGAGCCCAGTGAATCACCTGAGGGCGCAATTCCACAGGGACAAACAGGCGATTATCAGGACACCCACGAGGTGGAGGGGTCTCACCGTTAGCCTGCTTCACCTTGGATTCTATAGGCCAGGTCACTGCTCCAACCACACAGTTTAGTGGGAGGATAGGTTCAGGTGCCCTGGCCACCAACTCGGGGCTGAACAACCGTGACGGAGCATCAAGATTGGTGTTCCTCGAACCCGGGCTGTAGGATAAAGAAAAATCAAAGCGGTTAAAAAACAATGACCATCGGGCTTGCCGCGAATTGAGTCGCTTGGCTTTCCTAATATATTGTAGATTTTTGTGATCTGTCCAAACCAAAAACCGTTGCTGAGCCCCCTCGAGCTCTGCCAGTATCTCCCGATCCCCCACGTCATAGTTCCGCTCTGCTGACGTCAATCGGCGGGACAAAAAGGCACAAGGGTGAAGCTTGTGGTCCCCTTCGGCTCGCTGGGAGAGGATGGCCCCGATCCCCTCGCTGGAGGCGTCCACGTCCACCACGAGCTGACAAGCCGGGTCGGGGAGTGTGAGGATGGGAGCTGTGGTGAATCTCCGCTTGAGCTCCCGGAAGGCTGCGTCTGCGTCGGCCGACCAGCGGAACGAGACCTGTGGGGGAGTGAGAGCATGGAGCGGGGCTGCTGTCGCGCTGAATCCCCTGATAAACCGCTTGTAGAAGTTGGCAAAACCGAGGAATTGCTGCAACTTCTTGCGGTTATCAGGTGTAGGCCAATCGGCTACCGCACTTACTTTAGCCGGATCCATCTGAACCTTTCCAGGAGCTACGATAAAGCCCAGGAAGGAAACAGTAGTGGCATGGAACTCAATCTTTTCCGCCTTGACATAGAGCCCATTGTCCAAAAGGCGCTGTAGGACGAGCTCGACCTGTCTCTTATAGGTGTCAAGGTCGGGTGAGTTATTAATGCACATGACTAATTCAGCTTCTTTCCGGGAGTTTTTTTTGTGCTTTCTCCCCTATCAGGTCTCCATAGATCAGGTCTCCATAGGTTCCTTCGGGACCCTGGTCCTGACTAAATCTCAGAACTTCTTAAGTGAATCACATTTGGATGAGCTTGCCAAGCACTACAGCATTAATCTGAAAAAAGAGGAGGTTCTGGTGGCCAGAAACTTCCTCGCCCGCAAAACAGAGGCTGGATGTCCACCCCGAGATATGCTAGCTGTGCACAACCTCCTAGACTCCGACATGTTTCCTTCTCTGAAGGCAATCTTTCAAGTTACCTTAACAGTGCCTGTGAGCGGCTGCTCATGTGAGAGGTCCTTTAGTGCACTGTGTCGGCTGCACTCCTGGCTGCGTAAGACAATGGGGCAGAAAAGGCTTCACAGTCTTGCAGCCATGTCAATTGAAAGTGACATTCTAGGGGGACTGAGTCACAACACACTGATAGACTGATTTGCCACCCTCAAAAACAGAAGGCATTCTTTGATGCTTCCACCCACTAAATAATCATTTTCCTGTGATTCCATACCACCCCTGTCCCAACAGTCTGAAATCTCCTGTGCATTGGATTCTTTTTTTTAATAATTTGAATGTATTGTGTGTATTGTGTATTTTTTTTTATCTGCCTCTAATGCTTTCCTGGATCTAGTCCTATAGTGTTTTTCTCTGTACATTGCAATCCTGTAAAATAAAAGCAGAGAAAATTATTTCTCTCTTTATTTGAGAAAAGTTCATATTTCCCTATGACCCTGACATTCTGTCTCTTGTGTTATCATGTACTGAATGCAAGCAAAACTACAGAGCAAAATCACACTCTTTCTGATTAAACCATTCTATGAACTGTCTGAAACAATGGATATCCGCGGCCCCAAATGGGCCTTAAAAAAAAAAATTCCCGCACGCAAACACGCCACTCCCCTTGGGGCTAAGCCCCCCTTTCTTTGAATCCTAGAAACGCCCCTGCCTGGAAGGAAATGTGCACAGAGGCACACCTAGTGTCTAATACGTTTACTGGAAAGTACACTGTATTCATTTACAGTACTGATTAGGAAAAGGAATTTTAGATGCAATCAGAAAGAATCACATGCTTGCGGCCACAGATGACGCATTCTTAAACATGCAGTTTGTGACACCAGGTTTAACCATCACTCTGGGGTGGCAGGAAATAGGACTCACTTGCAGAGTTTAACCAAAACTACTTCTTTATCATCAAAAATTCTAAATGCCAAGGGGCAAAACGAAGACACGGATGGGGACCAGGGGCCCACGGGCAACACATGCACCAGGCACGGGAAGACGTGCAGGTGATTGGACACAGATGGAAACAATCAGGGACACGGCAGAAAATCACAGGGGATGACAGGACAAGGCCGGAAGTGAAGCTAACCAACGGGACACATGAGGCAGGAAACTACAAAATTAAACAGGAATAAACACAAACCGTGACACCTGGCAGCAGACTAGCGTCACTCCTGGAGGCGGGGCCACAATCAACATTTCCTGACACGTTAATGTGTATGTGTTATGGTGTTCATATCTGACATCTGTTATATGTAAAATTTTGAAATTATTTATGGTTGAATTTCTTTTTTCTATTGATGCATTTTCAATGATCTGAGATATTTTTAAGTAATAGATCGGGTTCGGGCCGAATGAACGGGTAAAATCAGTAAATGGCTTTTTATGTTGACCCAGAATCCAAGCAACTCCGAGGGAACACTCATGAGCACGTTGTTGGGCTGTGAATGTGTGACTCAGGATCCTGTTTGAAAGCGTGATCAAAATTGGAAGCCCGGTTGGGAATATTTGGAAGAATTCAGCCGAACAACTTCTCTTGTTCTGGTAGATTTATTTGTCAGATCACAGGTCAAGTATCAGGGCTGCGCTTGCAAAGGCAGGAGCAGTTCTGTTGGCCCGCAGGCCAGAAGAACAACTGACTAATATCAGGAAAAACATTATGTTTTTTTTATTTGTTGATAGATATAGAAGAAAGGATTTCTCTTGGCCCTAAACTAGCGTCGACGAGGACCTCCTGCCGCAACACTAGATCCAATCACATACAACGTGTGGCGTCCTGACAATAATGTAAACATAACGAAGAAAGCGTCTGGGTCTATTCTACTTGTATTCCCAACTGTAGCTTTATGGGATTAAGCAAATATTAATGTTTTCATGTGTTAACTGACTTTCAGTTTCCATAGCCGGTGGCGCATGGAGTAGCGCGGGTGCGCGTAACCCTAACACACCTCTTGTCTCCCTGGGTAACTTCACTTCCTGCCTTGTCCTGTCATCGGCTGTGATTGTCTGATTGTTCCCACCTGTGTCCAATCACCTGCACCTCCCTAGTGTATTTAAGCTGTGTGTGTGCTTCCTGTCACGCGTCATTGTCTTTTGTCCGGGTGTTTCCTCGTTCCTGCCAGCCCCCCCCCCCCCCCTTTTTCAAAACATTTTGACCTAACTTATTCGTTATAACTGTGTCAAAAAAAGGCTATTATAGGGTAATGCTATGTATTTAATATTTATTAAAGTCGAAATAGTCAAAACTAATCCTAGTATAGAATGTTGGAAATATACATATATGGCATTTAAA